ATCAGGTGGAGAGAATAAGACGTATGTGTCACCGCCACAGTTAGCGAAGTTTCTGGATGGTGGAAGTCCACCGTTTTATGTAGGCTTTGGTAGCATCAGTGGCGACTTGAGCCCAATGTAGGGAGGTCGCGGGTTCGATCCCCGCAGATGTCATTTTTTCCGGTATTTTTAATTCAGTTATCGGGCAGTGCTCTCAGCAGTGAAGGAAATTCCTGACCTGAGGGTCATTCTGCATAAGGGGTGGTGCGATCTTCCTGGAATCACCAAGGATGATTTCCCAGAAGGTTGGTATGGGAAATCTGCACGCATGCACAAAGTTTTTTGATTTTTTTTCAGGGATTCGTGATAGAGTATTCTTATTAGCGCCACCACCGAGTAAATGTCCAGTTTGTGAGGAGAAAAAGGCCGAGTGAGTTTGAAATAGTGTGGGAAAATACACTGGAGTTTCACTCGTTTTACGGGAAGTGGCATAATACTCCATGTGAAAAACGCGATATGAAGTGAAATTTCGAGAAATTGAAGTTAAAACGTTGAGTGATATCGAGGCAAATAACGCGATATGTGTTGAAGAGGAAATTTTTGAAAATTTTTGAAAATTTTGGATAGTTTTTACATACTTCTGTCCTAAGTCGTGGGTAAATTTTCATAATGTAGTTGGGGAATTTCTGAGCTCAGCTGAGGAGAAAAAACATGTTCCTTCTAACGTTGCTGTTGACAGGCATCTTTCGTGCTGATTCTACTGAGCAATATCCATAATTTTTTGAGCACGAGAGAGTCGTATTTTTGTCCGTTTCTGTTGTTTACTTTTTAGTGATAGTCTCAAAAATCCCTGCATATTTTTGGGAGGTTTTATTTCGACTTCGAAGGAGATTAACTTCTCATGAGCAACAATTCGTGTTCAGATCCCAGAGTTTCTTCTGTGACAACTGCGCTGCCTTCAGTGAGCCTTCGGCGGCTGCTGGCACGTGGGAATATGAGATGGTGCAGACACTAGGGACATCGCATGTTGCTCTAGTACCGGGTAAGGTTAGTAGTGCAAAGTAGTCGTTGAGTTAGATTTCTAAGTTTTCAAAAAATTACTAATTATTTTCGAGAAGTGGGGGAGTGCCGAGGTCGCTGATTCATTTCCGTCACTTTTTTCCGGGATTTTAGCGAGGATGAAATATGAGTATTACATGATCAGGTATTCCTCACGACTGGTTGTTCCCTCGTTGTTGTGCATGTATGCATCACGGTGGTGCTGGTACTACTGCTATGGGGTTGGACTGTGGCCTGCCTACTACTGTGGTGGCCTTCTTTGGAGACCAACCTCTGTGGGGTGAGTAGTGTGGGAGAATATGTGCGTGTTGGTGACAATATGAAAATTATTGATTTTTGTACGTAAACGTGTATAACTAGTAAGAAAACTCCTGAGCTCAGCTGAGGAAAGCGAATATATATTCCAAGTCGTACATGTAGTAGTGAATGACACATGTTCAACTACAGTATAGGACTGAAAAAGCATCTTCTCAACGTTTGCTGGGTTGATGACAGTTTATGTGTTTCTGGAAGGAAATTATAATAACCTTGATTATGATTTATTGAAATTTCACCGTTGATATGGAAAAAATATTTTGTATATCACTTCGCGAAAAAAACTAGTTACGAGCCAGTATTACCTTCTTCCTCCTAGAGTATTATAGCAGTTCGCGTAAAACGGGTGAACCCCCGCTATATGAAGATATGCACATGTGCTGGTGACAATATGAAAATTGTGAGAAAAGTTCGTGGAGTTGTTATTGGATTTTGTATGTAAATGTGTATAA